AAACTTTGTTCGAGTTTGGGAGGATGTTGCTACAGAGCTTAGTGCTCACCCCCTACAAACAACATATTTTTCAGATTATGTGTTAGAGGAGGAGCTCGGAGTAGATGAACAGGCACATTGGGAAGCTCCAATAGATGGGAACGTGAATCCCGAGATGGATGTCTAGAATTATATTCTCTTTTGTCCTAGGTTCTAGACTAGGGAATTTATTTTGAGACAATGTAAAGTCTAACCTTTTGTAATTCCGCTACGACATAATAGTTAATTCTTTTGGGATGTAATGGTCATGGTTTGACATATTCTTTTGGAATGATGTTATATACATTATGGATGATAAATGAAATTATTTTATTTATGAATTTTATTAGTTGCTCTTATGATGTAAATGGTTTTAGATTGTAATGACGTCCAAGGGGGCTTTGGGGGCGTTACAATATATATATATATATATATATATATATATATATATATATATATATATATATATATATATATATATATATAACCAAATGTTTTATTTCATTCAATTATTATTGTAAACCGGCAAAAGAATTTGGGGTAAATATCCTTTTTATTAAATCGCACTTTAATGAAAATTGGAGCGTGACATCTTTTAAAGAGTAAGGTTGGGTTAGAGAAAGTTTCTTCTCTTCTGGTATTAATTTCAAATTCAATAGGTTTCCTTTTTGATATTGGATCTTGAATTTGATCTATAAGATCAATAATTAATGTTTGTGGCTTAGTCAAAATATTTATATTTAATCTATTCATATCCAAAATGGCCTTATAATAATTAGTCTGTGCTTGACAGTGTGATGAACAAGCTATATGTTGTTCTGAGTGTTATTCATCTGACGATGATTCACTCATTTAATCAATTTCATTAATATTACAGAAGTCACCCTTAAAAAATGAAGTAGTTACAGATCCTTCCCCTTCACTTTATGAATTTAAAACTATGCTCAAAATCTTATCTTTAAGATCTTCATAAACAATAAACTCATTTATTTTTTGTTTAGTTAAGCATTTAGAAGCAATATGATCTTCTTTTCCACATTTAAAACACTTAATTGGTTTTTTACCTTTTGATTTATGTTTTTTAGTGGGTTTATTCGTTTTATTTTTTTCATAATTCCTTTTGTGGAATTTTCTTCTTTTCTTATATGATTTATTATAAGATTTTCTTTTAAATGAAGATTTATCTTTTGGAATATCAAGATTATAAACAAATTAATTGCAAAATTCTCCAAGCTCTTTACGACCAATTAATTTTTGTCTCTTAAGTTGAGCTTTAAAGTTTAAATCATTACAGAGAGCTAATCCTTCTGAAATACATTCAGAAATTAATTCTCTAGAAGTGTAATTTTTATCAGGGATTTTAAATTCTTCATGTCTCTATCTTAAACGGATTCTTATTTTTTCAGCAAATAAACTGGGTAGTGTTGATATACATTTTTCTTTCCAAAATTCATTATTAGCGTTTGTTCTTAATAAGACTTTGACTAAAAATATATCTTTATACCACCTAAAATGTGTTAAAGTGGGACATCTTAAATTCATTAAGAGTTCTTTACTTTTATCCATACTTTGTAAGCTTGTCCCTACAAAGTATTTTAATATTGTTTGTATTAAAGTGTAAACAACATCTTCTTAAATAATTATACTCCCATCTTTAGCTGTTATTATTTTTACAGCATTTAAAATTTCATGTTTTCGAGTTAAACTAAAATATTTGTCCCACCAGCCTCTTAATTGGCCAGTAAATCCTACAGTTATAAATTTAACAGTAGCATGATTTGTGTTACGATTAACTTTACAGACAGATGCATACATTAAAATTTTATGCAAAACTTGATGAATTAAGTATTCTTACATGCCATCAATATTCCATTCACATATAGAAAAGGCATCTGACAGTTGATCAATAAAAAAGTTTTCCTAATATAAAATATCTTGAAGGGTTGATCTGTGATAATAAGCCTTCATGGGGGGTGCTTGTGAATATGTATTATTTTGTCTTTTAGGTTTAGAATACCCAATTTTATTTATTTCTTTAGACTACATTAGGTGTAAAAAATCTTCAAATTATTGGATTTCAGTTTTAAATTGTTCTACACTCTCTGTTTGAGAAATTACATTTAATGACAAATTTTGTAATTTCTTTTTAAGTTCATTTATGAACTCATCTTCAACTTTGTTGTGCAGGTTAAATGTTGAAGTATCAACAGGAGGCTTAATGTTCACCTTTTCAATTTCAACCGATTTATTTCTTAAAGATTGGGAAGACAATTTTTCTTGTCTTTGTTCCTTTATTAAATTTTCAATTTTACTCAAGTGTTGCCCTACCACTTGTAGACAAATATTTGTGTAATTGTTTTGTTTTATGGAAATATTTCTTCCTATATCGTTGGTGTCCTTTAAAGAGTAGCAAGTATTTAAAATTACTTCACCTACCTCATTGGAAGCTAGCTTTATAGCTTCGGTAGTGGGAGGATAGAAACTATTTATACTTTTGTCATCCAATGTTTCCCATTTATGTTGAAATTGCTCAATTACATTTAATTGATTCATAGTGGGTAGAGCATGATAGGTTAAAAACCATGTAACAAAAGGAATTACCCTTTTTTCCCTTTCTATATAATGGTAAAACATTTCTTTATACCTTTTAAGGTCTTCTTGATTTATAGTTTTAAAATACCAAGTTCTAAATATCTCATATTTAGATAAATAAAATTTTTCATTAATTTAATTTCTATTAATTATAAATTCTTTTGGGCTTAAATCCATAGAAATTTATATTTGAAATCCGATTTTATATGGAGTTGAGTCACAATCTTCCTCTTAGGAAGATTCATTATTTTGCCTATAAATTCCATGTGGATTTTGATTACAAGTGGTTTTAATTCTTTCAATTACAGACTCTTTTCCCCTTCTCCTGTCTGAAATAAAAGAAGTGGACCTCCTAGTAGGAGTATAATATGCCGATCAAGCTTTAGATTGTAAACTTCAAAAAATTATTTTGTGTAGAAAATTTTATCATTACATCTCCTTCAGATGATTGGGAGATGTGTGTTACCTCTTTATTTATTTCTAGTTTTTTAGAAACCACAAATTTCAATTGTCAGGTTTCTGGAAACTGGATCTCTGACCATTTAATAGTTTTGGGAATTTTAATTTTATTTTTAATCATATTTGTTTCAATTAAAGTTGTTTGACCTTTATTATTATAAAGCCTAGCTTCTAGACATAAAGTATTCATCACTTTATAATATACCCTATAGGTCAAAGTCATTATCGTTGCTCCATCTTTAAAATTGTAACCATAAATTTGAATATTACAAGTTATAATATCTAATATATTTTTATCCATTAAAGATATTGATAAAATTAAAAAACAATTAAAATAAAGTGGACCAGTACTTAAGCTGGATTTCATAACTGCCATTGGAGATTGATTTAAATCTAAACATCTAGCATCTCTTAATACTACCATAAAAGAGACATTTAATCCTTGAAGAGTTAATGACGCTTTAATGCCACCGGGACTAATCCAATATATAAAATTTATAATTTTCTTGAGCCTTTAAGATTTCTCTTTCCGTTAATAGTTGTAAGGTGCATTTGATCAAAGGGAATTGTCTTTTCTAATGTTTTAATTGTTAAGCTTGATTTAAAGTTAAAAGTTCCAATATTATATATCTTCTTAGTTGGATACTGGGATATATCCCAGTTTTACAATTTATTTTTAATATGTGAGAACTCAATTTCTTCCATATTTTTAACATAAGCATCTTTATGTTTATTATGAAATTTAAATAGGCTTAATGTCATGTTTGTTCTTCAGCAAATTTTCTATTAACCTATATGTTTCACTATTACCTTCATATGTTGCTACAGTAATTCGTCTTTTAATATTATTACAGTAATTCTATATTGACTGTTACTATAATAATTCCACTATAATGATTTTCTTTCAATTTCTTACTCTTGCTGTCAAAGATTTACGGGAAACACTTTTAATAGAAGGTCACTTTCCACATAAAATAGATGATATGTTCAGGGTAAATTCATAGAAGGTCACTTTCCATCCACTTTTCATTTTCCTACTATCCGATAATTAGTAGCACATGGTGTCAGTGGTATTTTCAGCAAATATAAAGAATTTTTCTAAAATTATGTCCATATACAGGGGTGCCAATAAAATTTACCCTATAATATATGAATCAACAATTCCTAAACAAACACAGGTAAGTACAAAATGTTATGTTCATGTCTTGAATGGGATTCAAATCTTGCAAATTTACTCTCGATTTTTCAGTAATTTACAGCGTATTGATGGAGAACTAATTATATACGATGAGTTTTACTAGAATTCTTATTGAGTGGTATATCAACAAAACAAAAAAAACGCAGTTGAACAAAGCCAAATCCACTCAAAAGGTACATCGGAAAACCTCATGAAACCTTGTCAATGAAGAGTAATTGTAATATTATAGAAATTATCCCCGCCTATTAAACTTGTGTGTAATAACAATGATGATTAAATTCGTAAAACTCAGTAAATTTTGCACTACATGAAGAATGCATTTTTGTGAAAATGATTATTTTTAATTTCTTTTTTTTTTTTTGGAATTATTTAAAGATAAGATGGTTGAAGAGTGGGTGGGTGAAGCTATTCACAGCTAGACACCGATTTGCATTGAATGTCCATAAAAGATAAAACGACCCTATGTAACAAATTTATTACCTACAATTGACTAAACCATAACTTCACTGTTCTAGCTTTCTCTTTCAATGCAACTGTCCCATGCATTTCCTTGGCTCTATGCTTCTCTCTCTCTCTCTCTCTCTCTCTCTCTCTCTCTCTCATGACCTGTTCTATATATGTCGATGCAGGGGTTCTGTTTTAGTGGGGATAAGTTAAAGCTCTCTGTTTCTGGGTGTATGTATCAAAGTTGCAGAGAAGAGGAGGGTCTTGTTGTGGCTACTTTAAGAAGGTGATGAATACGTTCAGACTGATAACAGGTATACCAGGCCCAAGTGGGTTTGGATCAGCTTCAACTGCTGAACAGGTCACTGAAGGGATTGATGCTACCAACCTCACTGCTATTATTACTGGTTAGATATTTATTTGATTCAATTATTACATAATCTTACTATATTTTTACCATGAATTATATATAATCTTAATTCGTGCTAATTCGGTTGTGGATTGATTATATATTCTCTGAAATAGGGTCGATGAATATGTTTTTTTATGAATTTGTACTTGTCAAATAAGACTTTGTTGAATTGACTTTCTCATGTGTATACGGGTCAACGTGACCAAGCCACCCCCACCCCCCTAAACAAAAACCACCACCACATCCACACACACCCTTTACCGTTTTCCACCCAACCCACCTCCACCGCATCACCACAACTCTCTGCCACCACCACCTACCCCCCCCCCCCCCACCAAAAGAAGATAAAAAACAAATCGTCCTCCACCACCCGTGACCAATCCTCGCCGTCAACCGTTTTTCACTCCTTCACGACCCCCATTACAGTCTCACTCGTTGACAAGACGAACCCAAAAACTCAGCCACCGGCTACTCACTTCTATTTTCCAGAGAGGAGAGAAAGAGAGAGAGAGAACTGAAACCCGAACCTGTTGGGTTGGATTTGGCCCATTTGATCTTTGGGCTTTTTGTATCTATCTTTTGTTCCACTTGATAAATCTGGATAGTGAAAATAATAATTATTTTAAAATGTTATATTTTGAGGAATTTTCATTGAGAAAATAATTATTTTAAAATGTTAATTCAATTTCATCTTAAGTTGGACTCAAACACACTCTACACTTTGCCTAACTGAGATTGAACCCGAGTAGAAGGAGAGAATTCGAGTTGGATTTCAATTCCAGTAATGTTTGATCAAATTTTGGGACCAAATCAAGAACTCAAATGACATGACAGCATATTATTTAGAGTCTTATTCAGGTCCAAATGACATGACACCAAATAAATAAGTCAAAGTCAGCTGCCATGTCATTTGAGCTCTTGATTTGATTCCAAAATTTGGCCAGTAAAACATTACTCTGTAAGATTTCAGTGTAGCATTACTCTTTGGGATTCAGGATGTTTTGTCCTGACCTAAACCACGTATTGAAAATCTTTGCCCGGTTTGGTTCAGGTTGATGCAGGCTATTGGCCTAACCAAGCCAAATAAATTACACAAACTCTCTTTGGTTTTGGCAGCCTTCCCTCATTTCATCTTTTCTCTTCAACTTCTTCTGACCCATTTGTATTGTCTCTTGAAGTTTAAAAAACGTTCAAGCATTCCCACCTGTCTACTTCACTAGTACTCTAATGAAAACTTTAATTAATGTGCAGGAGGGGCTAGTGGGATTGGGTTAGAGACAGCCAGAGTTTTAGCTCTTCACAAAGCTCATGTTGTTATTGCAGCAAGGAACATGGAGGCTGCAAATCAAGCAAAACAGCTCATCCTTAAGGACAACGATACTGCTCGTATTGATGTTATGAAACTTGACCTTTCCTCCATTAAGTCAATTAAGGCTTTTGCTGATAACTTTAATGCTCTTAACATTCCCCTCA